TGATGAATTTATTTTCTTAGATGTACTACTAAAACAGATTCATTTCCACTTAAAGTGCATTTAAAACTGAAGATTTATTATTGAATTGTACATCCAAGAAGGTTTTACGAGAAGCACTGAAGGTTAAAAATGGGTTATTAGTCACGATCATGGTTAATCATTTACTTAAAGACCAATGTTGAAAATCACATTTAGGATAGAATTTATAGTAATGGTCCTTTTTATGAAACAGCTTTGATCACACTGTTGGTGGGAGTGTAAATGAGAACAATGTATTTTCAAAAATAATTTGGCCCCAAATTGTAAAGTTGAACATTTTCATTCCCAACTACCCAGTAATTTCACTGCTGGGTATATATTGTAGAGAAAGTTTTACACACATATCCCAAGAGATAGTACAAAGATTAGTCATGAAATCATTGATCATAAGAGCAAAAAACTGGATACTTAAATGTTTATAGAAGGAAGATAGATAAATTGTAGAATAGTCACACAGTAGAATATTATGGAGCAGTGAAAATGAACTATATGCAATGGAAGGATCTAGAAATCAGTAGTAAGTAAAAAAAAAACCAGAGGACTACACACAGTAAGATACCTGTTTTATTTATTTATTTATTTATTTTTTAAAAGATTTTATTTATTTATTTGAGAGAGAGAGAATGAGAGAGAGCACATGAGAGGGGGGAGGGTCAGAGGGAGAAGCAGACTCCCTGCCGAGCAGGGAGCCCGACATGGGACTCGATCCAGGGACTCCAGGATCACGACCTGAGCCGAAAGCAGTCGCTTAACCAACTGAGCCACCCAGGCGCCCAAGATACCTGTTTTATAAAAAGCTTAAAACCAAGCAAAACTAAAAAAATATATTACTTACGGATGCAGACATATATGATGACGTTATTTTTTAAAAAGACAAGGGGATGGTAAAACACAAAATTCATGATAGCAGTTACCTGTGGAGGACAAGGAGGGAAGTGGGATAGGGAAAGAAACTCGTAGGCTGGTACAGAGATTGGTCACAGTTTGGTTTTTAGGTGGGATGATGGGTTCATGGGTGTAGTACTCATGGTTGTTGTGCTTCATGCACCCTTTTGTATGTATAGTTTAAAAATATAGATGTATACTGATAGAATATTAGTAAAAGAATACTACTCAATACTCAGTATATTTTTGTATGCAAAAGGCAGGAAAAATACAGAATACAAATATGAATGATGTGGAACACAAATATAAACAATACAGAATACAAATCAAACTCGTAATTGGGAAATAGAAAAATGTGCAGAAAATTTCTACATGTATAGAAGATTAATTTAAAATTTATTTCAGGGATATTTTTATTACATTCATCATTCAGAGCTGATAAGTCATTTTACTTAATTTTTACAACTTTGTTATAAGTGGCAAAAACAAAAAGAAATGAGGACATCATAGAACGACATCATACAGAAAATAGATTTGTTATCAAACTCTTTTAAAGATTTCTTAAACCTAAAAGCTACAATTCTGAAAGTTTTTTCTGAGAATGTGTTACTTCTAAAAGCTATATATTTTGTTCTTTATATTCTTTTTTAAATTTTTTAAAATTTTTTAATTTTTTAAAAGATTTTATTTATTTATCTGACACAGAGAGACACAGTGAGAAAGGGAACACAAGCAGGGGGAATGGGAGAGGGAGAAGCAGGCTTCCCGCGGAGCAGGGAGCCCGATGCGGGGCTCTATCCCAGGACCCTGAGATCATGACCTGAGCTGAAGGCAGCCGCTTAACGACTGAGCCACCCAGGCGCCCCTGTTCTTTATATTCTTGCAAGGCTGACATGAGTTCATTGCAGAGTTAAAAATGGTAATTACCTGGTAAATATTTATTACCATTACTGTATTTCATGAAAACCTAGGATTGCAATTAGCTCTTGGTTCATTACTATGTCACCTGTAATGGTACAGTATTTGCACAAGGCACAGTCTATGGTACTCTTTTCTTCCCTGTGAAATTCAGACAGTATTTTACTCTAGCAACAAATCTTTTAGGCTTTTATGTAGAGATGAAGGACAGTTTACTTGTACTTGTCCACTGCCCAGCACATATTCTCTGTGGGTGAGGTACTTAACAGTGCAGTGCTGACAAGGCTAAAGTCAAAGGTTAAAGTCAGAACTGTGGGATAAGAGCCTGTGTACTCTTTTTCAGATTTCTGTAACAAAGAGCCACTGAAATGTTACTAGAGAAGCATAAAAATTAGACTAATCATCTCAGTATCACTGGGCAATCAATGGATGCTAAGGGGATTGAATTGGTGGTCAGAAGAACTGAGTTTGAGTTTCCAACTTCTTATATTGAATTGTGGCATTCAGTTAACATCTTTGTGCCTCATTTTCCTCATATTATAACAGAGATAATAGCTCCTTTATCTTCCTCCTAGGATTGTTATGAGAATGGAAATAAATTGATATACATGAAAAACCTTTATAATTTCTAGGAATATGCAAATGTTAGTTTGTCACTAGAGGAAGGTCTTTTTCTCAAATACATTAACATTCACAGTGACCTCTAACAAAACGCTTTATTAGGCCTTTAAAAGTTACTATGTAAACGATACGAGTTTCTTAAAAGAAATGAGAAAATGCCTATAGGGTCTGCTGGAAAAATCATTTTATTGATTTTTCACAAAAATGAACTATTTAGATGTAAATGTCAAAGCTTATCTCCACAGAATCCACAGGGTATCTAGATTTATCAAGTCAAGACCTCCTTTTGCTATTTAACTTCCAGGGAAACCAGTATGGTCCTTTCTCTTCTTTATTTAGGTATGGAAGAAACACAAGTCATGCCTCTCATGAGTATCTCCTGCTATCATCAATATAGTAATGTTGTGGACAGGCTGGATGGGCCCCTAGGTTTGGAATTTTACTTCTGCTCCAGGGCCTGGTTGGACTTGTAGTTCTGGAATCTTGATCAACTTATCTGGAAGGTGCCTTTGCCTTAAGAGAAAGGTTCATGTACAGAGAAACTGATAATGCACCCAAAAGCCGTTTGCTAATTTACAGTAAGAAATAATGTAAACTCATATCTTCATGCCAACACTAATGTATTACTTTTGCTTTATAGTTCCTAAAGGCTTTTTAAATTCATTATCTCATTTTGGAATCTCATGACTTACGACTTTTGAACAGAATGACTTAATTTATTTCAAAACTGTTTATTCTATTTATCAGATGGAATATACCAAAAAGTGCAAAACAAAATAGGGGACCATATCTTAGTTGTCAAAAACAACATACTGTTGGGGCGCCTGGGTGGCTCAGTTGGTTAAGTAGACTGCCTTTGGCTCAGGTCATGATCCTGGAGTCCCAGGATAGAGTCCCGCATCAGGCTCCCTGCTGAGCAGGAAGTCTGCTTCTCCCTCTGACCCTCCCCCACTCTCATGCTCTCTCTCTCTCAAAAAACGAACAAACAAACAAAAAAAACAAAACCAAGAACATACTGTTAACAGTTCTTCGTATTTCCTTCCTGTCTTTTCTATGCATGCTTATGTAATTGAGAACATACTGTATATGCCATTTAAATGTCAAAGTTTTCTTTCTTTTTTTGGTTATGATGGCAATCTATGCTTTTTGTACAACTTTTTGGAAAAGTTGTAAAAAGCACACAAAAGTCCAGGGGCAGAACATGAAAACCACATATCATCTACTACTGTAGTTAAACACACTGAACATTTTGGTGTATTTCCTTCCAGTATTTTATTCCTTTTTATTTTATTTTATTATTTATTTATTACTTAAAAACGTAGTCGGGATCATACCAAGGCAGGAATACTTGGGGAGACAGACACTGGCTGGGCTTGGATCAGGCAGCCTCTACTCTCCAGTCTAGCGGACTGGAAGGGGCAGATCAGCACTTTTCTTCCTGGACAGGGGTAGCGAGAGTGACTCTTTTCCTTTAAAGCTCACTTCTTTCTGTATTTTAAGCTGATTTGTACATTGTTCATTTCCCCCAAATCTTCAAGGCCATCGACACCTGCCCGTATTTCAACAAGTTATCCTTGATGGTTTCGGGAAGCCCGTACTCTTCTCTGCGGCCCTTCACTTCCGCTCATCGAGAGACTCCCGCCCCGACTGCACTTTCTCCTGCGATGACTGAGCAGGTGGAATGAGGCCTCGAGTTTGGAGCTTCAAAAGGATCCTGAAACTCGAACAGCCCAGGCACAGCTCTCGCCCCGCGGCGGGGTCGGGAGCGCCCCGTGGCTCCACTAGGAGGCTCCGAGTCTCTCCGCCGAAGGGCTGCCACCACCGAAGGCCTTCGCGTTTCGTCCTCTGCTCCAAGGGCGGCCGCAGCCCTCAGGGAGGCCAGCCCATCCTCGCCCCTCCCGAGGTTATCCTCAGAGCTCACTTCCCTGGGGCTCCGAGTGCTCACATCCTGCTGTCGTCGGGAGGGTCTTTCTCGTCGCGAGAAAGGTTCTAGGCCTCAGGCTCGCTCTCCGCCTCTCTTGAGATCCCGGCAGGCCTCTGTCACAGAACCCAACGGTCGGATCCTCTCCGCCTCGTTTTGCGAGCCTGGAGAAGTGCGTCCCTTCTCGCTTGCCTTATGCCAGGCGAGGCGGGGACCGCACTACAGTGCTACCAGCCGGAGGGGGGAACGCTCACGTGCGGCACTTTGCTTTCCAGCCGGCGACAATAGCTCTCGAGAAAACCACCGTTCAGACGACCAGGACTAGTATTATTTTGTCCTGGGAGCCCGCACAGGAGGGAGGAAAGGCCATCTACCCGACCTGGGCAGCGGACGCACCCCTTTTCTCCCCCTCGGTTCGTCTGAACGGCCCGGAGCGGCGGGCCAGCCAGCCTCGGCGGAGCTGCCTCAGCCTTTGACAGCTCGGCGCGAGCACCTCGGGCCTGGAGTCCCAGCTCCAGGGGAGGGACGGGGCGGGGCGAGCGCGCGCGGGGCGGGGCGAGCGCGAGCGGGGGCGAGAGGAGGGAGCGCGCGAGCGGAGCCGAGCGGTGCCGAGCAGAGCAGGGAGGTATTGGGGAGAGGCTGGCTGAGCCCGCCGGCGCGGATCGTGCTGCGTCGCCGGGCTCCGCGTACCCCCGCCTCTGCCCAGGCTCCCGCAAAACTTTTATTCTCTGGGGGCTTCCCGGGGTGTCTGAAGGAATCGGAGCGCTCGGCAAGCTCTGCGCTCCCCTGCCGCGGCGACCCAGGGGACGTGCATCCCTTGCCCGCTGGGCTCTCGCGCCCCGCGCCTCCTCACCTGCTGCTGATCTCTCCCCAGAGCGGCGAGGGGGCACCGGCGGAAGGGCCGCGCGGGCGCCAGCGCCTCCGAATTCTCCCGCCCACCACCGTAGACTCGCCCGGCGCAACTTTAACTTGATTCCTCTAGCCCAGCTCGGGCACCCGCGGCTGCTGCTTTGCTGCCACCTTTGCCGTCTCGGCCGCCGCCTCACAAAGGGGCGCGTGGAGGGGAGGCGGCACATCCGCGGGCACAGGCGCCGGTGCGCAAGGCGCGGGCCTCCTTGCCGCCGAGGCCGGGAGACAAAAGGGAAACTGCCTCTGTTCGCCGTGCGGGCTGGGAGCAGCCTGCTCGTCCGCCTCCTGCCCGGCTCCGCGAGTCTCCTCCCCCAAGCCTCGGCTGCTGCTCCGCCTCCCTCCCCGCGGGCTGTCCCCGCAGTGCTCCGGGACCCGGCGAGCCTTCGGGGCGCGCGTCGCTGCTGGTGGTTGGGGCTGTAGCGATAATAAATGATAGAGGATACAATGACTTTGCTGTCTCTGCTGGGTCGCATCATGCGCTACTTCTTGCTGAGACCCGAGACGCTCTTCCTGCTGTGCATCAGCTTGGCACTGTGGAGTTACTTCTTCCACACGGACGAGGTGAAGACCATCGTCAAGTCCAGCCGGGACGCCGTGAAGATGGTGAAGGGCAAGGTGGCCGAGATCATGCAGAACGATCGGCTCGGGGGGCTCGACGTCCTGGAGGCCGAGTTTTCCAAGACCTGGGAGTTTAAGAGCCACAACGTGGCTGTGTATTCCATCCAGGGCCGGAGAGACCACATGGAGGACCGATTTGAAGTTCTTACGGACCTAGCCAACAAGACGCACCCGTCTATCTTCGGGATCTTTGACGGACACGGGGGTGAGGTAGGAGTTCTCTGGGGTTTTGTTTGTGTGGGTGTGCGTAAACAAGAGGATGTGTGAGCAGCGGGGTAGGAACTGGGTGCGAGGGGCGTGGTGATGACCTGGTGACCGGCTGGACAAAGACACTAGATCCAAATGTGGCTCAACTTGCTAAAAAATACTGCTGGGTCCAGACCTCTTGGTCTCAGTGGCCAATTTGGGGGAGGGAGGGTCGTCCTCAATCTATTTTGTGCCTCATAATTTGAGGTTTCCCAAGGCCAGAACCCAGCAAATGACTGTGCTAGCTTTTCGAGGAGAGTTTATGGTTTCTGCTGTGAACTTTGGCCTAGGGCCTCAGCGCCCCTGTTCTAGGGTTTGAGGCTAAGCTAGGCACAAAGAAGAAAGAAAATACCTTTGATTCTCTTTAGGGAAAAGAGACAAAATCTGCTGAGCCGAGTCAGTGAGGGCTCATTGAAGATGAAGGAAGCTGTGACTCCTTCCCATCCCGTTCTCCTAGAGGAAGAACCCGAAGGGCAGCTCTTCGCTTCTTCCCAACTCCATTAACTTTGCAAGTGCAATCGGGCCAGTTGACAGTAGCGCCTCACTGGTCGCCTGCTTTTAGCTGGATCGTGGCACGGGACCGGGATGCCTCTGGCCTTTGCCGAGGTGGCAATGCCCGCAGAGGCGGCGGTGCCCAGATCTCGTCCGGGCGCCCTGGCCGGCTTGGTGCGCAGGCATCTCCCTGCTTCTAAACTCCTTTATTTGGGGTTCATCTGGGGCAAAAGATGATGTTGGAGGCCGGTTCGGGTACCTCTGCCGCATTTCTGCGGCACCCTGATTGCGCGCCGGGGCTCAGATTTCCTGGAGGTAGGGGCGAGGGTCGGCTCTGGTCCTTGGGCATTAGCCCAGGGGAAGTGAGTGGCAAATGTGGCTCCAGCGCCATTCTCCCAAGCGCATCAGTCAGCCACCCCATCTCTCTCAATTGGCAGTTGGTAAGAGTTTCAATGCTGCATACTATTTATTTTTTTTTTTTTGCAGGATACTTTTTTACTCATATTCCCTCTGCCCCCTTTGCCACCCCCTCTTCATGAGTCCCCCACCCCACCCCACTCCCCGTGCTCTGTACCTCATCCAACTTTCCCTCCAACTCTCATTTTGGTCCTCTGGTCTCTGGTGGGCTGTAGGGGATGTCAGCAGGTCATGATTTGCTTTTTCTTTGGCCTTTGCTTTGGGTGAACATTGAGAAAGCTTTCAGTTGGTTGTTATTTTATTTGCATTCTGTCTTTGATACAAAGTCACTTCACCCACCACTCTGCTAATCTTTCCCAGATACTGTATCTGTCTGCCTTAAACCAACTTTGCCAGGAATGACAAACTTAGTTGGAAAATTTATTTGGTAGAATTGAAATCAATTTTTGCTATTTTCCATCCACCCTAGCCCTATGTTCTGTCTTTCAAAATGAAGGTTTGTTACTGGTTGTAATTTTGTAGCTTTTTGTGTAGGGTGGGGTTCCTTTCCCCTTGGTCACAGGATAGGTGAAAGACCTGAAATTAATTGAGGGAAGAGATGCTCCGTGCTTGGGTAAAAACATATTTGAATGATAATATTCCCAGTACAATGACTAAATTGTTTTCTTGGTTTGATCAGAATGTCTCTATTTTCATTTTATATGCCTAGCCTAGACTTTTAAATCATTTAATAAAGCTTCTACGTATTATATATTTTTAAATTAAAATTGGGCAGCTGTTAATCTGCTTCTGGTCTTAGAAAGCACAGATTTATTTTTAATTTAAAGGTCCAGATGTAATATTAATGTTGTGAAACTTTGGGTTGTGCTTGCCTGGGTGTGTGGTACTGACATATTTTGAGCCTGCACGTGTAAGTGAATGAGTATTTTAAATTTTCTTTTAAGTTGATATTCTAAAACCTGGAAGTTGTGGACCTAAACAGATTTCAGGTTGAAAAATTTCCAGTACTATCTTCTGGTAAATGTATCATCCAGAAAAGGGACATGATAAATGTTTTTATTTAAATAGAAGAATTTTACACGTATAGGTACCCTCCTTAAAAATAGAGTAATTGTTCTATCTGTAATCTCCTATAGTATGTAGCCAGTTCATTCATCTTGGCTTTGTTTTAGGGCAAAATAAGAAAAGTAATGTAAAAGGTAGTTCTTTAGTTGCTATTGGGAATGTGATAATAACAAATAATATTAGGTATTTTCTTTCTTGCTTTTTCTTTCATTCAAAGAAAACCCCACCATCTAATTGTTGTCTTTTGTGTTGTTTTAGCTCCTGTAACATTCACCAGAGGAGGGTGCCACTGTTTGATTTTGGTACAGATGATAGTTGTCTCCTTTCAGAAAAGAGGAAGCTTTTTCTGAGCTCCCTATTATTTGTATATGTTGTGTACAGAAGATAAATGAGGACTTTAATTTTATTTCTACTAATATTTCTACTAATTCAAACTAGTCTATAAAAAATGAGGGCCCATCTACAATGGTACTGCTTTTTAAATGTAGAAAGGAGCTAAGCCAACTTGTATATATACATTTCATCCCATTTTTTAGATAAGGTATTTGTTGATGGGCTTAAGATGTGACCTTCCTAAGGTTAGTTCAAGACCTTCAGTTTGGTGATTTTTATATTAAACCACTGGACAAGTTAATTTGCATATTTACCTTGATAGATAGCACACTAGGGATACAAAGGTGAATGAGATAGGCTTCCTGTCCTCACAAAGTTTCAGTGTAGTGAGAAAGATCTGTATAACAAAAGTTACAGTCATGGTGTGCTTAGGGTGTTATGGGAACACTGAGTAGGGGCATTTAAATCGTACTGGTAGGTGGGAGGCCCAGGGAAAGACACTTTGAAGACATTATTTACTGCAAGTTAAAGGCACAGGCTTTGGTTTGAGATCTGGCTTTGAATCTCTGCTTTGCCTTATATTGGCTGTGACCATGGACAAGTTGCTTAGTCAACTTTATCTGGGAGTTATTAATCTGAAAAATAGGGATAATAATGCACATAAGGTACACCTCTATCAGTTGTATTTTACCGTATCTAGAGAAATACTTAATGGATGTGGAAGGATGTGGAAAAGAAAGCTTAGAGACCAAGAAGTCTGCATTGTTAGGGCAACAATATCCTAGGAAGAGAGACTCTACATGCGAAAGCCACAGTTTTGATCACTAGAAAGGCATATGTTGGATATGGATAATTTCAAACTTTATATCTCTTTGTTCGAACTTATGGTAAACTGATTACTAATTTGGGATTTCAGGTATCTTAGCATTGGGGAAGCAGCATCCTGGCTTCTGGTGCAAATTTTCTGATTAATGGAAAGGAATATTCTCTATGATTGATTAATAAGTTGGTATTCTGATTCCCACTTCAGCCTCTTAGCATGAGTTGATACTCTTTAGTCTATTCAATTGTGTATTTTTGAAAAAGATTTATCTCTGGACTTCTTATGCTGAGGACCAGACTCTGGATAGCTGTGACTTCTACCTGAATGACATCTTAAAGAGATTTGTCTCAGTGTTCTTATAGGCCAGCTTCCTCACTTGATGCTGTTGGGCCCTTGAGACATTCTAATCATGATACTGTGGGTGGATGGTTGATGTGTGTGTGTGTGTGTGTGTGTGTGTGTTTAAAGCTATGGCAGTGATTGTTTTTCTGTATAATAAAAGATTTAAAATATTATTTAAAATATTATTCTAAAAGATTTAAAATATTATTTAAAATATTATTCTAAAAGATTTAAAATATTATTCTGTATAATAAAAAATTTAAAAATAAAAGATTTACAACAAAAGGTAAAAAAATAGCTCAAATTATACCAACTGATGTGGAAAGGTTATTTTTAAAATTAAAAAATAATGTTTATCTAGGAAAATGTTTTTGTGTGTGTGTGCTTATCTCTAATTTTTATCTACTGGCAAAAGGTGGGTGTTTTTTTGTTTGCTTCTTTTACTTTTTATATTATTTAGAAGAAATATCACCAATCCTTTGAGGCAACTTTGTCAATGTTCATGGCTTAAACCTATCTGGAAAAACAGATTTGCTATGTGCTTCATCATTACTGTATTAAAGGTCATTGTATCATACAATTGACACATAGCTTGGCCAGTGGTTAAGCTTAGAGTTCCACACTTGGCATCAGAGAAGTTGTACTTCAGATGCTTGTCGGGGACTGCAGTCTTGAGGCTCAGCACTTCTCAGAAGTTCAGAGGAGAAACTGCTTATGGAAGGTTCCCTGAAGGATACATATAGTCTAGTTCTTTAGATTAATGGTTCTTAACTTTTCTTGAGTCATGCTTCCCTTTGAGGATGTTATGAAACTACAGCATAGCCCAAGAAGAATGGACATGTGCATCAAGTTTTGTTTATAATTTTAAAGATAAGTGGATGCATGAAGCCTCTCGATTTTACGTTAGTTCAGGTAGAATAAAATCTGTTTCTGATAAATCTAGACCTGCAGGGAGCTGTGTACCTGGACCCCTTCCTTGGCCTGATTGTCATCTTCTCCACCATTTGCATTTATTGACTGTGTGCTGTCATTTGCCTATGAGGGTTGTTATGAGGAATGGTCTTCCCAAAGTTTTCTGAGAAATCAATGGCAAAGATGTCCTCGAGGACTTTATTTGTTGCATTATATAGTATCCTTTTTATGAGGACCAAGGGAAAGACAGTTCTCTGATAGCTTTGTGTTTTTAGCTTAAGGACTGAATCATGTGGCTGATTGGATCATCCTGTGTTTGTTGGCTACTAGAAGTGTTAGAGCCAAGCCTCTGACCTACCTCTAACAAATGTGCAGAATTTTATAGAATACATTGATTTGGTATATAAATCTCACTCCCAGGACAGCTTATCTTTCCTACATTCAGTTTTCCTTTGTTTTGTTATTTTCTTTCTCTTCTGAGATAATGTCATTTTATCTTGTGGTATATGTATTCATGTAAGTTTCATTGGATCTTTTCTGAAATAAGATATAGTTCTGAATAATTAAATAATGAGTGGCA